TTACCAAGATATGTATGTTGAAGATGGTTACTGAAGAAACTGGATTTGTTTTAATTTATTTAGTGAGGTACCAGGCTTTTAGGTGCTTAAATGGAGAGCAAATTTGTTACGTGCAATAGGGAACTGCTGGTTCAAAGATGTAACATACTGTTTCTGAACATCAGCAAGAGAAATTTTAACTACTGCTTGTTCTCCGAGGAACACTGGTAGCTCTTGATTCTTGTTGACATTTGAAAGAGAATTAAACATATATATTTACCTTTTGAATAAACAGTTGTTCTGCATAGAAATGTGGTTTATGTAGGAATTTAGGTAAAGGTGCTTTTACTTTGTTGAGAGTGATTTATTTTTGTTGGTTTGGGGTTTCCTTGTTTCTTTTAAAGGTCAAGAACCTAACTGGAGCCAAGGTGGCATTCTTGTATAGGGCTTTGATTCTCTTGTCCCTCACCCTTTGGGCTTATCTATCTGAAAATCTTCTGCTTCTAGAATATTGTAAAAGTAACAAGTGGTTTGTGGTTTGGTTTTGTTGGGTTTGATTTTATTTTTATACAATATAGTAGCATTAAAAGTGCCATTTCCCCTGGTTTATATATATATATATATATATGTATGTATGTATATATATATATAGTACAGCAGATGGCAGGAAGGCTAAAAAGAAACTACATTGCAGGTGATAACTCTGAAAAAAGTAATTTCATCCTCGGCTAATTCACAGCATGTAAATTTGCATAAGTAACTGTTCTGGGACACATTGTATTTTTCTGTGAAATAGAGTACTCAGACATCTCTGCTATGTTGTCTTGTTGAGGGAGACATAACCTTTCCCAGAAGTTTGAGATGAAGTTGGCAAGTTCACCTTTGCTGCTTGGGGCTGGTGTGTATGGTATCTGAGAGGAGGAAGCGTGATGGCATCCTTATATCCATAGCTGGAAAGGCAAGTCAGTTCTGTATTCCACCCCAGCCTTCTTGTGGGACTTGGAACAAATCATTCAAGTCTGTGCCTCAGACTCACTCCTATTGCTATTGGCAAAACTGGAGGTAGGAGCCTTGACCTCCAGGTCCAAGAACACCTTCCCTCAAGCACCACCAGGATATTGCACAGAATAAAGTTGTTTTGTGTTGTGAGGTTTTTTTAGATGTGATTTTTGATGCAGGTTATAAAAGTACTTGAGATAAGCAATAGGATTTCCTCACCATCTTCCTTGAGGAAGGTATTTAGAGATTATTAAGAAATACTACTTCTGCTCAGTATTTGTGTTGGTTAATAGCCCTTGAACGGGCTGTGTTGTGTTTGGTTGTCTTTGCCTTTGCTACGCTTACTCTTGGCAATGAATTAGTAAGAACGGGGAGAGGAAGTTAGAGGCCTGTTAAATGGTCTGGTTTTGTGTTTGGCAGCAAAGACAATGCATTTTCCTCATATAAATTGATCTTGGTCTTCAAATAGCTGAGAAGATAGCACATCTCAGAGGAAAGCCTTCCAGGCTGACATCTCAGGGGTGAACCTGACGGGAAGCAGTGTTTATAGGGTCACCGAGGTTAATTTTGTGATACCTTCATGTTAAGTTCTGAGTGGAGTACTGGTTTGCTGAATTGTATTAGCAAATAGATCACCACTTTCCCTGGTTTTCATCATATTTGCTACAGCCTGTGGTATACAGACTTTCATTCAGAAAACAAACAAATAAATAAATAACTGCTTTGTGAAAAGTTGGAAGAGATAGTCTGTCCTTCGCATTTTGTCATCCAAGAGGAAAAGACTGGAATTTTGTCACATCATTCTATTGCTTATTTCTGTACTTACCTCCCAATACCCAGCTGCAGTATTGAAATGGTAAGTTCGTTTGGGCTGAGTGAGATCATATTATTTTAGACCATTTACAGTATTCAGAAGGCATCAAATGGTCAGATTATAATATGAGAGGTTAAAGATGTTTGTAACAGTAAGGAGAAACATCACCTTTTTAAATGTGGAAGCTTTGGAAAGGATATAGCTTTGTGCAGCTGTAGAAAAGAAATATAAGGTACAACTTTGATATCAAACATCTTCAGTTCAGATGGTCTCATGTTATGGTAATTACTTTTCTCCAGATCTACTTCTAGTCTGCTCTGTACATGTCAACTGAAAGAATTACTTTTCTTTCTCAAGGCCTTCTTTGTATCTGGCAGAGGGGAAAGCTACCTAGGCTGCTTTAAAAAACAAAACTGAAATTGGGTATATGAAGTGTATATATTGTATTAATTTATTCTGGTTTTCTTTTGATTGTATGAGTACTCTATGAGTTTGCTTTCTTTACCTTGAATCATTTGATTTGTGAACAAATGGTGACAACTGCTGCTTTTATACTCCTGCTTGTCCTGTGTTGGATTTCCAGGGAAAGAGCTCCCACGGATTTGCCCCTCACCAGTGGAGTTGCTTCCTTTCCCTTTTGTGCTTGTATCAGTTGTGTTGGCAGGGGTGTGTTGATTGTCAAGTCACTCACATTCTAGTGAATGCCTTTGATGGAGCCCATTTGTGTGTATTTAATATAATAGAGTCCAACGTTCCTCTTAAATTTCCTCAAACTATTGGAATCAGATAACTAAGGAGTACAGGCTCTTAATAACCAATATGTTAGGCCATGATCATAGCTTTATTCTTTAGGAATGATTTCAAGCCTAAATCTTTTAAGTATGTAATCAGTATTTCTATTATAATTCTTTCACAATATGTTGTATTAATATAATTATGTGTCTTGATCCGGCTTTAAAATCTAAAACTGAAAGCCTGTGCTCACATAACATGTTCCAGTTTTTGGCAAGTTTTCTTGAAATAATTTTAAAAAGTACTTGTCTGGCATAAGAGCTGAGGGGTGGAGCTGTCCTGATGGACGAGTGTCAGTGGGTGGTGCCATAGAGGTGCCAGAGCTCCCTGGCTCTAGGATTTCACAGTTTGCAGGGGCCTGTGGGGTTTTTGGAGACAAATGTGCCTCGTTGTGCCATGGCTGGCGAGATCAAAGTCAGGCTAAGCTCAAGGTAGTGGCTTTATTGCCTGATCTCAATACCACACACATAAACTTGTGTATGACAGGAACAAACATGGTCCCACAGTACCAGGCAGATCTCTGAAGCAAATTCTGGTAGCCAGCCCAGGAAAGGTGCAGTAATTTAACAGCTACTGAGAAAACAAGTACCATATTAGCTCCTGCTACCTCAGCACATAATAGAAATGTTGTAGTTGTTCTTCCCAAGCTTTACTTCATGACTGATAGAGGAGAAGAATGGTGCTTCTGCAGTGCTGATCAGGGAAATGATTTACCCTACCCGTGTTACCAGCTGTCCTTCAAACAGGAGAGGAAAACAGCATTAACTGTGAGGGAAGTGAGGAGAAGAGAAAGTTGCTCCCTAAAATGAGCTGGGTTTGCACATTGCTATTACTTAGATGCCTTTCCAGACTAATAGCCCCCATGAGGAGCTTTGCTGTGTGTCCTCCAGCAAGCCACAAAGGAAATCCCATCAGGCAGATGCTGATAGAACTTTGCTTGTTCTATCCCTTCTGGAACACTTGGCTAAAAGCCACTGTAGTGGACTGTCAGATTTAAAATAATGCTGCTGTGATGAGCTAGTCCTTCATCCTTTCAGTCTGTCACCTTGCTCTTCCTCAGGTGACTATCTGGAGACATTTCCTCTGGATTCCTTGATGAAGAGGGATGGGGATGAATAGATATTTCTAAAGTACTGGAATGGCTTGTTCTTGGGAAAGCTGTGAAGGATCACAGCTTAAGAATAGCAGTCACGGGGAAACGTAAAAGGTTAATTCTGGTTTGCCAGGCATTGCTTGGCTTTTATGAAGCAAATGAGCGGAAGCTACAATCAAGCACCATGGAAACATGGTTTCTGAGGGATTAAGGCCCTTGTAGCACAAGGATCTTCGTAAGATCTAATTTCTGGCTTTAGAAGTCTGTGTTTGGACAGGAAGTCTGGGCACTTGCTAGAAGGACACAGAACCAGTGAAGTCTGGGCAGAGGGGTTCATTCCTGGTAGCGGTTCATTCCTATTTGTAAATCCTGCCTAAGGTTTTCTCCTACCTATGGTACCTAATGTGCTTTGCCCTTTGGGCTTTGCACAGCTCAGTCTAGTTTCTGAAATGGTCTCGGTCTCTTGCCTAAGGAGCATTGTTTGACATTCCATAAAGGGAGCTAAGCAGTATTGTTCAAGATACTCTGGAGCACAGGAATGTTGTATATGTGGCTCTGAATTCCTCCTGTTGAAATTGTTTTCTGAGGAGGTGGAAACAAAACACAAGAATGGATGACATAGCTCAGTCAAAGTACTCCCTAGGGATAGAAAAAAAAATCAGGATTCCAGTCCCCTTACCAAACATTCATTGGAACAAAAATGGAACAGCTCCAAAAGGGGAGCAGGAAGGACACAGAGAGCCCTTAGGAAAAGGAATAATGAAACAAGTCCAGACTTCCCAGCCTGTGTTCTATCTGCTTGGCTAAATAAAAGAACCTTTAATATCAACAGCTATGGGACACTAAGTCTGTTTAACCTGTTACCAACCAAAGAGTGAGGAATTCATCCTGCATATAGAGTTGGCCAGTTGCCATAGGAGGAAAAGATTCATGCTGCTAAACTTGGGATAACCTGTTCCAGAGGCTACTTCCTCCTTTCACCTGTACTTAAGAATTCCTTAAAGATAAATAGTCTTGTGTATGCCTGGACCTTAATGCCACCCACCCCTACCATTGTGTATTGGCCTGTTATTTGGAGCTGCACTACACAGTTTTAAGAACTGCTTAAAAACTACAGTTTTGGGTTTAAGAACCCGAAGAAAGCTTAAATACTTTGAGAGTTGTGATCCTTGTTGCTTCTTTTAAGGCAAGATGCTGAATCATAAGAGAGGTGTTGAAAGCCTGTGAAAGGTCAGAAATTCTAGCAAGGTGTTTGGATGTGATCTGCAATCCTTGTGGCCTTTAGAAAGCCCCCTTCCCCCATCAAGTGCATACCCGAGCTAGTTAATTTTAAAATAAAACGTTTAATATTCCAGACCACAAGCAATACTGAAACATACCAAGGCATTGCAAGTAAGAGTAATGTACCCAGTGTTCTGCATGCAATAGTCACGTCCTTCTTTGCAGCTCAGTGGGATAATCTTGTTTCCTGGAGAGGACAAAGAAAACTGGAGATTATTTCTGAAACAATTCCTTGTCCTTAGTAGCTGAGAAATTTTTAGCTTACAGATCTTTGCTTGCAGGGTGCATGCTGGTTAAATTACTGCATGTGCAGCTGCTGTGTATAGTATGAGCTACAGTATGGCTGGAATTGCTGATGCTGCACAGGCCGGAGACCCAGTGAGCCTGAGGGATCCAAGCTTTAGCGTTTGGGATGTGGTTGGGTACTGGCAGAGCACCCACATCAGATCTTTAATCACCTCTCTGCAGTCACAGGCGGGCTGTGGCTCCTCCCCTGTCATAGTGGTCGAGCAGGCTGTGGGCAATGAAGCCGCTCTCCGAGTGCAGGGTCTCACACTTCCGGCAGGTGAGGATCTCGCATTTCGGACACATTTTCCCGGAGTGTGGCTGCCTCAAAGAACAGATTTCCTCCCGTGCTGACTTCAGCTTCTTGGAGTCTTTCCTGTGCAAACATCTCCTCTTGTCTTCAAAAAGCTGACTTCTTCCCTGAGGGCTACAACAGTCACAAAGAGAGGTGACAAGTTCAGCCTGTGCACTTCCTAGGGCAGCAGAAGCAATTATTGTGTGATTTATGAACCCTTCCACAGGCTGTACTTGTGACACACCAGGAGCAGGTGCAACATGTGGTCACCTGCAGAAAGCAGGAATGGACAGAAAAAGGGGAGTCTGGCTGTGATGGCAGTGACAAACCATCAGTTTTAGAACACAGAATGATTAAAGGATTTCCATCATTTAAACAAAACCATAAACCATAGCCAGCTAGGTAGGATCTTTAATATGCAGCTTTTCTGTGGGTGATTGTGGCACAAGCCTCGTGTGTTTGCATGAAGACAAATTCCATACAGCTCTGTGTATCTAAATTACTTGCATCTGACCTAATAGGCCTCCCCTATACCATCATAAAAGTTCTTTTTCCACTTGTGTGCACTAACAGTGCACACTAATGCTGGCCAGTAGATAAGCCCTATATTGCACCGACCTTGAACAGAGATGGAAGAGCTGAAAGAAAAGGTCTCTTGATAAAATTATATACCATTGTATTTTATATAAAACAGTGCTTGAAAATCAAGCAGCTAACCTACATAATCCCTTACAGGAGCTCACAAATCAGTGCTGAACTGTAGAAGTTATGTGATTTGGCTGTACCACTGAGAGTTCTGTAGGCCCTTGTGGCTTGAATGTGTTTAAAAACCACCACCATGCAATGTGTCTGTAGAAATATATCCAGTAAGGTCTGAAGACTGACTCTTTCCATTAATGTGAGAGCACCATGGGAGGAGGTTCCTACATTCTTGTTCAATTTCTTTTTAATGTTTTTTTTCAAACTGGGGAAGTCCGTATTTGTCACTGACAGATAAGGATCAATGTCCGGAAAACATGGGTTTACTGCTTTGCATTTGTCTGTCCCCTGAATGCACGCTTCAGTGAAATTATGAATAACAGAGAATACTCACAGATGTAATTCACTTCTTGGATGTTTGACTATGTTTCTAGTTCCTTAGCAGTGCAGCAAGATAAATCCCAAAGCCAAGCCCTTGGTATTAGTTGTGCTGCAATTAGATTAGTCTGAGAGAAAAATCTGGCTCTCAGGTTCGTTTCTGGCTAGTGTATTTTAATCTTACGTCGAGCCTGTAACCAGCTGCTGTGGCTATCAAGCTTAATGTAGTTAGCTGAGTAATTGTGGAGACTTGCGTGCATTTCCTGCTAAGACGGTAATTTCATGATAATTATCAAAGACAGACTCTTTGTAGGAGATCTGTAGGGAACACAGGTCTTGAATGAGAAAAAACAATTTTTGGAAACCCCTTCTGATCTTAGCTTGATGCATACAGTCAGTTTAATTTGTGTTAAGGAAGAATAATATGAATAATATCAAGTAGAAAGACCCAAGAAGAGAATTTCAAATCCCATGTGGATGATTATAACGGCTCAAAACTAATACATACACAAAGCAGTAAGCTCAAACTCACTTTTACCTCTGCTTACTTTTGTTGAAAAATGAATAGTTTTGCATTGCTTGTCTTTTGTTTTGCCTTTTTTCCTTCTAACTGAAAAGTAGTAAATATAAAGTACTATTGTAGGAACACAAGCAATAATTATGCTCTGATTCAAGAAACTTAGTAGCACTGACTTTGTTGGACAGTGATTTTTGCTGCTGCCCATACATTGCCATTGCCCATTACACCCTGGAGTTACAGCTGTCAGTGCAACAAAAACTGCAGCAATGTTACTCCTGGACCAGTGTCCTGGGTTGTCGGGCTGGCAGTGCTAGTGTGTATCTGGAGGAGTTGAGATGCTGCCTCTCTGAATCTCTCACTGGAAGCATTGGGAAATGGTTATAAGATGAACACACAGACACACAAGGTTTGGAGACATTCATTTTGTGTCTACTTCTGCCAGCGATTTCCTAGCTTTTAGGTCGTTTAATTAGTCCACAACTGTTTCCTTGTTTGTGAAACAGTTAATATAGCAGAGGTAACAAAAGTGTCTATGTGGCTCTTCCAGAGCTGTTCTGGAAATACTTACAAAATTTCTTGGTTAAAAATGTATACAAAATATAATCTAGGATGTACTTACAATTTATTCTTAGGAGACCCAGAGAAAAGGCTCAGTCCAGAAAATCTCTTCTTAAATAGCCGCTCTCGCTTTTTTCGGCTGTGCTTCCCATCTCCTGTGCTTCCTTCCATGAGGTCCTTCTTTCCTTTGTGCCAGCTCATTTTATCTGTCATAACAACCCCACCTGCTCAGATGAAAACAGAAGTCTGAGTAGCTTTTCGAAAGCCTCTCCCTTGCTTGTTGTACCTGGCGAAGTCTGGATGTGTTAATCTACCTGCAAAGGGTCCTGGTTACACAGGAGGTTCAGTTGAGATCAGGGAGCAGCTGCTTTCCATCAGATGAAGCAAATACCTGCTCTGAAAAATCCTGCAGACACAAGGTGACTCTGGGTATTCTTGCTCTATTCCACGTAATTATGGAAAGTAGGCTTGGACATTAAACACAATGAATATTTCCCTCTACATGCTCTCTTTCATGATGAAGCTGGTTGCTTAAACCAAGAGCAGAGGCGGCTCGTTTGATAGAAGCGAAGAGACAGGATCCAGTGAAACAGCTTTGTGCAGAGAACAGAAGCAGTGAAACAAATGTGAGATGGAACAAACACTGCAAAGCAAAAACCAGAACCCTGAAAAGATGAAGAACCAACTGGGGATTTTAGTTAAGGATTGGAAATTGTTTCCTTTTTCTTTTGATAAAGCAGTTGATTAGGCTGCATTTCCGCGTTGTGATGCTTTGTCTCCAAGAATTATCCCTTTGGCCTCTCTGATTGAATTAGTCTCTCTGTGCTACATTTGATACTTGGTAATTGCATTAACTTTTGGTTGCTTGACTTGGAGGGTCATGTTCACCCCCTCCTATGTCTATTGTCTTGTTCCTGCCTGTTAAAAATATTTTCCACAAATCTTCTATACAAAATCACACAAAGTTTGTGGGCTTAAAAACAAAATTGACAATCATTTTGAACTTTTCTGCTTTTACTCTTCATCTTTTCTCTCCTTATATGCTGCTCTCCCCTCAATCCCTCCCAGCCTTTTAAGTACAGTTCTCCATAACCAGTTCATACCTTAGGACACACACAGGCAGGAGCGACTGGGACTCATGTACAAATGCTTTGCAGGATCACACCTTGAAACAGTTTTAAGTTGTGTTATAATCATTTACCAAAATTACATGGTAATTTCCTTGTAAAGGTAAATTCCTTGAAGGAACATAGAGTGACACACCTTGCTGCTCAGGCTTGGTCATGAGACACCCAGTGTTTTAACAGAACCCAGGTAAGTTGGACTTGTATATCCCACAGAAATGGCCGAAAAGACCATTTATGAAAGGAATTACAAACAGTTCACTGACCTGTAAAAGGAAACTGTCACTAAAGAATTACTAAGATGTGAAGGAATAGAAGTTGTGATTGAAAGAATATTTACACACGTCACAATTACAGGCTTTGGGTTTTAATTGGTGACAAAATAATCTGCAAATTCAAGACCCATTTTAGGCATACAGTGGTGCTGAGGTGAAGCTCTGCAGAACAGAACAATCTGTGTCTAATAAAATCAGCACCTGGGGAGGCAGACATCTACCTTGCTTCTGACAAGGGAGCTTCAAAGGCTTCTCACTGAAGGGTCTTTCAGTACTGATACCACTTGTCTAAAAGATCAAGAGAAGAAAATGTAACATCGAAAATAAACATGTAAAAATTGGTAACAAAGCACTGAAGATAGATCTTTTTTTAAGCTTTTTAGACAATTTTGAAAAATTATACTTTGGACATGTACAGTATTTAATTTCTCTTTTAAAGATGAATTTATCTGGTTATGTGGAGTGTAATTAATTCTAATGATGTGAGGGGAAATCCTTCTATACTTTAACTATCTGTTTAAAAGTGTTGCCAAATCAGATCTGAATACCCAGTATTTGAATAATTGATTTATTTGCCTTGCTTTTCTTCTCTGCTTAAATCTTGTGAAACTTGACTACCATTGCTTTCTTTCTACCAACCAATTGTTCTCACCTTTCTTATCTAGCACTAATGGAGTTGTTTTGTTAATTACTCTTTAAAATGGGGATCGTACTTGCAGATCTGGGAGAAAATATGTTTCCTTCAGATGAAGATCATATATCAGCAATGGACAACATTTTCAGGAACCTCAATGTTTTATCTGTAGGTTGTCTTTAGTTCATTATAAGCAAGGTCTAGTACCTGCAAGACTTCAGATGCCAAAACTGATCTGCACAGATGCTGATTGTTGATGGCTTTCATTTCTGGATGTCCTGAGCCGTGTATTGGTGGCTCTGAAACTGCCTTCATAGATAAAATTTGACTTCAGGACAAAATATTAATTATGAATGGGGTAAAAAAACCAACAGCAACAGTTTACAAAAGACTGATTGTTTTCCCTACCCAAGACTGGCAGGCTGAAGATGCAGGAAACTCTCTTCCAAAAGCAGAGCATTTCCATGGCCGTCCCTCCAACTGTCGCAGCCGTGATTCAGCTGTTGTCCTCTGGAGTAAAAGTACCGAACAGAATAAGAGGTAAAATCTTCGTGGCAGGGACTGTCATGCAAACACACAGAGTAAAAGATGCCAGACAAGAAAGGATGTCTGGAGAGAGGAAATTACATGAATAGCAACTTGGGGAGAATTTCTTGGTGTCCGCACGATGCAGCTTTTCTGATCCACTTGTGTGTTTTAAATGAATTTTCAACTGTTGGAACTAATTCTGATCGTATTATTTTGCCACCACAGGGTGTCTCTGCATCTCTTCTTTCACCAAAGGCTTTGGTAGCCTTTAATGGCAGTCTGTGAGCTCAAGGGAATGTAGGGCTAAAGGAAAATGTCCCCCAGTTTAGCTGTGAATTTTCTTCAGGATCATGATGTTGGATTGGAATGGTGATGCCTTCATTAGCTGGTAGGAAATTCTTCTTTAGCAGCCACAGTCCAGTGATGTTATTTAATTTGGTTTTGAGAACTCTCCTGTATCACATCAGAGAAAGCTGTGGCCATATGCTGTGGTGCACTGTTCCAACTTCAGCTCATTCTGCACTCTTTTCACAAGGTTTGAGGTATTATTCCTGTACTGACACGTTTCTACTAATTTTTAATTTTTCTGACTGCCATTTCACCTTTATGCTCATGGGTGTATTTTCTGTTCCCCTTCAATCAGGATAAAGCTGGCATGAAGTCAGCATAGACACTGTATCATGTGCTCTGGATAGTTTGTATAATAAAACATTTTAATAAGTTGGTTTTGGAGTCTTCCAGGGCTTTTTTTTTTTTGAGTCTTTTGAGCTTCGGTCTGGCATCAATACTTGTTCCACCCTCCACATAACAACATGAAGTGATAGCACAGAAGGAGCAATTAGTAGGTCCTTCTGTCTCAGAATCTCCTGGCCTCACAGCCTTGCATGACTTTTCACTTCCTCAGTATGTGAGCGTGGTTTGGGTTTGAAGACTGGTGGCAGGTGGTACCTGTACTCAGTGTATGCCTATGTGGGGGTGTTGGTGTGGCTGTGTGCTACAGGGGTATCAGATAAATGTATCTTTGTCTAGGATATCTGAAAAGTAAACCATCCTCAGGAGGAAAGATTGTGGAGGAATACCAGATGAAAAGTGCTGAGCTAAATAATCTGTGGATGGATAAAGCTTAAAGCTAGTCAGGAATCTTCTGACTGTCATCAGGGCATATCAATTGGTTGAAACTCCATCTTTACATAGAGAAAATCCACTTTGATTTTTTTTTTTTGCTTCCATCAGAAAAAGCTTCTCAGGGCCAGGCTATTATGATGGCAATATGTGACCACGCCCTTAGTGATGTGGTCAAATGTAGAAAACTAAGGCTCAAAGTGACATTTATTCATTCATGCAAATAATTACCTTCATTAGAAGAGACAGACTCACCCTCCAGTGGCAGCAGGTATGATGAGTCTTTAATGCCATGAGGAAGCTCTCAGGCAGCAGAGGGAGAGGGGAGAGAGGTTCCTGTGACTAAGTCACTATGAAGAGTTCCACCATTCCCCCAAATGTTTGGATCCCCTTCAGAGCTGACAGCCAAGGGCTTGCATCTGAGGCTGTGACAGCATCTGAGCCTGGATTTAGGCAATAGCTGTGTCCTAAGGTCTGGGCTGTGTACCACCACTGTGGGTGTTGTCACATTCCTTGGTTACTTTCTCTGTGAAAATATTCAACTTGATACCAAGTTTAGAAATTGGGACAGATGTGTTCCTCACCCCTAGTACCTGTGCCTTTGCCTGTTACTTTGAGGAACAATTTACCTTTTCTTTGACTCCTGCATCAAAACCCACAGATATTACCTGATGACACTGTTGTACTTTATCTACAAAAGGCACCTCGAGATCTGAGGTCTTACTTACAAAAGCTTCTCTGTGTTCTGGGTAAGCCCTTGCCTTACCCAGATACCTGGTTTTAACAGCTTGTGCTATCTGTCACTGACATTGATGGAAAGGCAGTGACAGGTAAGGTATCTTTTTACAAGCAAAATGGAAGAAGTTATTACTGGGGACAGTGATGTTAAGTGCCACTTCTTGAAAACCTTTCTTCTTCCTTGACCTCTGTTTAGAGTATATGATGGCCTTAGTTTGAATGTAAAAGAGCACATTCTGCTTCAGAAGAAGTTTTGTGCTGTACAAGGGTGTGGGACATGCAAGGGAAGTGCTGACGGTTATGAAGGAGTTTCAAGGGTGAAGTTGGATGCCTGGGCTTAGGTTGAGTGTGAGGTGAAGTTAAAGCCAGGAGCACAGAGACTTGGCAACTACTGTAATTCATCTGAGATACAACCATTTCACAATCAGTGGCTGATCCAGTAGCTTCTCTGTCTCTGGGTTTGCTCTGTGTTGTGGGTAGGCATTATAATCCTGACAGCTTGCCTTTTTTCATTCACGAGTACTCACCCATGACGGCATGGACTGGATAGCAATACCTTTCATGCTTCTCTTCCTTTATTTTCCTCTCTCGCTCTCTTCCCCCCCCCCCCTTTCTTTCTAGAAAAGAGAGGGAAACAGAAGGTGGTTGCAGAAAGACACAAACGTTTTCACCTAAATCCCCCCAAGCGTCCTGGCTGGACTAAGCCCCGCTCCGGTGACCACACCCAGCTAGACGCTGCCTGCTCCGCACGGGGAGGAGGAGGCGGGATGTGGCAGGAGCTGGAGCCTCCGTTCGCGTTCGTCACTCCAGGACTTTCTCCTGGCTGGCGTGAGGGTGGGGAGGGGGTACCTCCGTGCCTTGCCTCTATTTCCTACCCTGTGATGAGGCGCAGGCATGCTCAGTAGCCGGTGCCTACCCCTCCTATCTCAGCAACAGTGCCTACAACAGTAGGAGAGCGTTGGCAGCAGGCGCGGAGCCGGAAAGCCATCTTTGCTGGAGAGGGAGGCAGCAGACCCCGCTCGGCCCCTCGCCATGTGAGTACCGGGGGCTGCGCCCGCCCCGCCGGGGCCAGCCCCTGCCCCGGGGCTCGGAGGGACGGGGAGCTGCCCTGTTGCTTCCGCAGGGCGTCGGTCCGTGTCAGGGTGTGCGGCGGGGTGGGGTGAGGGGATAGGCACAGGGATGGAAGGTGGGGAGCTGCCGGAGCCCCGCGGCCGGCACCGTGAGGGTGCGGGCGCTGGGAAGGGCTCGCAGGGCGTGGGCTCGGCGGCAGCACCAGCCGGGTCTGACGTGCCTGCTGCTGCTGGTGACCTGCGAGCGCTCAGAGGGCTCGCACTGCTGCTTATCCAGCTGCCAGGCAGCAGCGGAGAGGTTTATTGACACGTTTCTAGCTCGGATTAATACTGAAAGGGAAGCGCTGGGCCAAGATCCTCAACAGGTTCAAGTCAGGATTGTTCAATAGCGTGAGTCACAGTCGGCGGTGCTGCTCCACAGGAAATGGGTCCTGTCTGCTTTCACTGTTTAATGAAATGTTTTCTCAAATGCTGGCTATCTGATAAGTTCAGCCTCAGCATCTCCAGTACCAATGGCTTCCTGTCAGCAGTGCTTGATAGTAATCTGTTCCTTCTTGTTTGTATCTCTCCAAATAGCTCTTCCAAGTCTTTAGATTTAGCATTAACGAAAGCATTAACGTTCTGTGGTAGGCAGTGATGAAACCTCCAAAGTCAATTCTGAAACCAGAAGTGTTCTGAGGTAAGTAGGAATTGATCAGACTCCTCTTCATTCACAAAAGAATTCAGGCAGCTAAATGCATCATTTTACTATTGTCTCAACTCATTCTCAGTGACTCTTAAGGGACAGCCAGAGAAGATGTCTAAACCAGTCATTTGTGCTGGTATTGGGTGATCTTTGAAGAACTGGAGCTTGGTTGATGCAAAGAAGGTGAGGAGTGCAGTCTTGGCAGTCTGTGATTAAATTACTTTTAAAATATTTCCAATGACCAACTGTTTTTCATGAAGCATTTTCAAAATAAAGTCTATAATCACATATTCTGAAATGTTGGCTTTTTTCTTAAATGCTATTTCCTGTATGATATCTCAGACAATAAGCTTTTGTCCATGATGTCCAAAATATTTCCAAAGCAAGGCACTCCTTGGAAGTAAAAAAATTGCTGTCTAATAG